TGAGTCAGGCTGCTGGAAATGGAGACCCTTTATCAAGGCTGTGTTTGAAAAATAGGCTGATGGCCTGTGAAAATCCTTGGTAAGATATGTAGACCCTTTGAGGCACATCCAGCCCAGTATCCCTGTGAAGCAGGGCCCACAGTGAGAAACTTTCTGGGTGGCCAAGCCGAGGCTCAGTTGCAAGCAATGAGTTGGTGAGGCCAGTGCGAAGCAGCAGTCCTGCCCTCACCCATCAAAAACATCCATCTCGGGCAGGGAAGAAAGGACAGCTTGGGCTGGTGATGCTCTTACAGAGCTCTTTTGAGGCAACTTCATTCACATCTACTGTTCCATATACAGTGTTGAACCTGGTAGAGGATGAAGTTATGAGGAAGGATGCTACATCCATACCGAAAGCCTGGCTGGTACTTGCATGAGGCAGAAAGCATGGGGAATGCCTTAGCTCAGAAGGAGCCACACTGGGTCAGGGAATGTACTCACAAACAGGGAGGATTCACCTGGCTTACCATTCCTCCTGTGGGTGGGATGCGGATTTCTGAGGATAAGGCTCCCAAGCAGCCTTCAGCTCCAAGTATTGACACTGCAGCTGCTCCCACCCAGCCCCAGGGAGGAATCAGGTCTGCAGGCCCCAGCAGATGGCGTCACATTGGCTGGAGCAACTGGTGGTGTTAGTGAGCCTGCATCCACACACACAAACGTGTTTACATGAGGAGCATGCCACACAAAGGCTGACAGTGACCAGGCTGTCCCATGTGGCACAAGCCTGGCTGTGCTCTCTCCCTTTTTTCTGGGGATCAGCAGCTCTGTGGTTCCAGTGGCACCGGCGTGGAGCAGTGAGGGGATGTGAACTTGGGCACAGTCACCAGCTGACGATGGTTGGATGTCTCTGGGGAGATGGAGCATGGGGCAGGAAGGTGGCAGCTGCACGTGGGCCTGAGCGCAGCTCCAGCTCCTTCCTGGGACTGCTTGGTGCAGGGAAGGCGAGGGCAGGAGGGTGCCCGGGCATCAATGTCACCCAGGACCGGAGCCAGTATGTGTCACTGACGTCAAATCTGACCCCTGCCAAAGCTGAGCATTGTGTTACAGCGGAGCGGCATTTAGCTCCAGGAAAATGCCTCTGTGCTGAAGCTGTTACTAATGCGATAAACGCTGCAGCTCCCGAGAGGCCGAGCAATTACAAGCTCCTCACAGGAAGCAGCACTGGCCTCCTTTACTGACGAGACAGAACTTCAGAGCTGGGAGAACTGGCTGTCAGGATGATGCGAACTTCAGAATTAATCTAGGCAGCTTCCCTCTGCTCCCACCCTCTGTTCTGGCCCCTGTGTGAAGAGACTCAAATTCATGCTAGGAAATCCCGAGGGCTCTTTATCATGGCCTAGAAATGATGGTACTGCCCCAGGAAAGGTGTGGAGGGTTGTGGACCACAGTCAGCAGCCCACCCCTTGTACCTCTGCTGCTTGTCGGCTGCAGGCAATGTGTGCTGGTACCCTGATGGAGCTGAGCCAACAGGACAGGAGATGGTGCTCAAAGCCTGAGTAATCCAGCCAGCCTTTTAAATCCCAGTGTGGCTGCCTGTGCATCTTAAAGCTTGAAGTCAGTCTAGGAAATAAAGTTTTCATGTAGGTCTGGGGCTGGGTTGTGATGGTGAGTAGCAGCATTTGCATGGGGTTGCTCTGCTGGTGGCTGATGATTATGGTGTCGATGGGATGCTCTCTTTCAGGAGAGATAGAGGCATGCAGCCAGGGCTGTTCTCTCCTCCAGAGCAGGCCTGATGCTCAGGAAGGGCTCAAAGAAAGTCAGAAACACTTTAGTCTGTCCAAGGAATAGGATGAAGATGTCTGAGATAGCTACCCAGAGGCACCCCCAGCTCCCATCAACTTTCTTGGTGTCAGCAGGTGTCTGCAAGGATGAGAAGTATATTTCACCTGTCCCAAACTACATGTTCCTTATTTGCAGATGGAAGAAGCATCTTATCTTTACCTTTGTACCAGAAAGCACTTTCAGACCTTTAAATAAACTTTTCCAAGAGAAGATGACGGGGCAGGGAGGTGCTGGGCACTGTCCACCCCATCCTAGCTGCCAGCAAATTCAGCGTGGTTTATATATAGCCTCTGACCTGAGGCCTTCAAAGCAGGACTTGGACCCAAGTTCCTTGAACACGGCTGGAAAAATTCCACTTGGCATCAGGCAATTCACTATATGCTGCCATTCCCTTCTGCTTTTATCCAAACTGTGCCTCCAAGCCCTGTGCTATGGAATAGCTGCTATTCTGGGGGAAGCATTTGATATCTTTCCATCTCCTAATCATTCTGGAAGGGGCCACCTCCTTTCCTCCAGGCTGGGACACAAACAAACTTCCAACTCACTGCACCATCCCAGTTTCATTGGTTTACAGTGGTACACAACCGGCAGCTGGACCGTGGGGCTCAAGAGAGCTGAAGGTCTCTCTGTCCTGTGTCTGCACGTTGAGAAGCTGAGACATGCAGGCACCAGAATATTTCCACCCTGCACAGGGTTGTCTCAGTACAACCAGTGAGGCCAGCAGCCAGTTCCTACACAACTTTCGTGCTTGAAGAACACGACTTCTGCTTTTCTGTTTTGTTTTTCTGTTTTCTCTGAAGTTGTCTCGGAAGGAAGTTTTGTACCTTCTATTTCTACCCAGTGCCTAAGGCTTTTTTTTTTTTTTTCTTTTTAGCTCTCAGAAGGAGAAAATACTTGAAACATCTGCTCTCAAGTGGATGTTTCTGCCGACAGGTTGGATGATGCGCCAAATCACACACAAAGTCAACACCTAAATCATCAGAACACATTTGTACCACTCGCTGAGTTTGTCCTGAGATTGTAAGGGGAGAACATAGCTTTCATAGCAGGGCTGATGCAAAGCTGGTGTAGATGACCTGCAGCGAGTCCTGGAAGGACACTACAGGTCAGTTTTCAGGACAAGCTTTTGCTTGTACAAAGGTAAAGATAAGATGCTTCTTCCACCTGCAAATAAGGAACACGTAGTTTGGGATAGGTGAAATATACTTCTCATCCTTGCAGTGGATGCCACACCTGCTGACACCAAGAAAGATGATGGGAGCTGGGGGTGCCTCTGGGTAGCTCTCCCAGACATCTTGACATGCAGCAGTCACCCAGACAACTTCTCTGCTTTCTAGGAGACAACTCTGGCCTTCTTAGGAGCATTATTAAAGTGAGTTTGGCTGCGTACTGTGAAGCAGACAGGACGGAGAAATGGGCTTCTAGGCCGTACTATGCTGGGATCTCTATTTGTTTGTATCACTTCCCTTTAGACCATGCAGAAAAAGGTTGACTGATCCTCAAAGAGCTTTCTGAAGTCCTTGTAGCAGGAGCTATATCTGGAAGCAAATTCATTTCATCCAGACCTTCCTCCCCTCACTCCCAAATAGAGGACAAGATATACACCTCTCCTCCATGCCTGCACAGCATCCCTCTTCTCTTGCATAGATGGAAAATAATATTGGGAAAGCACTTGTGTATATTTAGCTACTTCTAATTGAAGTAGCAAGCTGGAAATAAGGAGCAGAGCCAAGCTGTGGTGCCAGCCAGCTCCTCACAAGCATCCAGCAGCTGCTGCCCAGCCCTGGGCCCACAGTTTAGGACACCTGGCTGTGTGCTTGGGGCAGCACTGAGGGAGGATGCTGCCCAGCTGGAGGCAGAACCCAGGAGCTGTGATTACTGTGTGTCCCCCAGTAGATAAACCTGAGCTCCAGGTCAGTCAAGCTGTCATCAGCTTCAGCAATGCAGCTATCACTCCCTTCCCATGCAGCTGGAGGCATGGCAAGTTAACAGCAACAAGAGTCAATATTTACCACCTCTTGTGTGTGTTAGTTTGACTGCGGATGCTTCTCTGACTAATTCATGCAAACGCTTCTCTCTTAATAAGACAGCGTGATGGCAAGGCAAGTGACAAAATAGCAACTGGTGTCACCCAGGGCAATAAACTGGAAGAGAAACTGCACACGGTGTCAAAAAATCAGGAGCTACAGTGAGTTTGGAGAAGCGAAAGAAGACAAGTCAGTGAGTGAAAGCCCCAGATGGCTCTGAGACCCATGCAGAAGTTCAGCTGCTGAATTCTTAATGGACACCATGGCATCCTTCCTCCCTAGTTGTTTCAGCAAACACAGTTCTCACTTCTGTGCCTCCCCATGAGCATGCATATCGTCTTTGGCTGCCATCAGGAATTTGGTCTAGAACCCACACTTCGGTCATCTGATTTTTATGCAGAAAGGCACCTGGGCTTAAGGAAGCACAGCTTTCATTAAATAAATTTAAATCTACAACCTCCCTAAGGAAGAAAACCCCACGGTTTTCTTAGAAATATTCTCTGCATTTAAACTGCTTGCACAGCTTTGCTCCAGAATAGGTAAAGCTGAAGCAGTGGTGCCTGTGTCTCTTCTGAGTGCTGCCAAGCTCCCCCCAGAACAGCTCAGGGTGAGCACAAGCTGAGATCATGAAACCCACACTTGACACCGTGCTAAATTCAAACTTAACAACCGCTACTCAGAAAAGAGAAGCACAGCTAATTTTCAGAACAGCAGCTGGACAGCTGGCTCTCATCCCAGCCCTCTTCATCTTCCTCTGTTTCAGTGTGAAAAGTCCACCAGAGAAAACTTTGCCACTAGGGATTTGTCAGCCTGCCATTTTTATTCCCACATAAACACCTCCCACAACCATTGGATTTAGTGCCTGGCAGGAACAAATAATTTCTGTAAGGCAGGAACACAGGCGGGTAATTAAGAAAACCCAACTCCAGACGAGGAAATACGGTCTGCAGGCAAAACATTTGGCAGTGCAGGAGCAGGCTGCACAGCTGGCAAAGGCAGGCAGCAGACCAACCACCATCCAGCTACCGGAAACATCTGGGAGAGCACAGCCTGCAGAATAGATTTGGGATGCATCTCAGTAAAGCAGATGCAAGCTAACCTTCACTCCTTAGCTTATGTAAACTGGAAAGCTCACAGGGAAATCTGTGTATATTGATAAAGGTTTCTTCCCCTTTGCAGGAGCTTTTTACTCTCTGTATTGCTGCCATTATTTTTTCTGCTGCTGCGGTTTGCAGGACACCCACAGCAGCTGTAGTGAGCAGATAGTTGACATTTTGCAATGCTTTCATGCTGTCAGAGACTGCTGTGTTTGTTTTCTCCTCACTCTGCTCAAGACAGTCTTGAATTGTCCCTTGGAAATGGTCTCCAATTGCAGCAGCTGTGTCACCCCATTTTTTCCCATTAGCCATTAGCAGATGAGGCAGGAAAGAGACTCAGGAGTCAGTGGTGGGTTCCTTGGTTCTCCTTGGACGTGGGGTTGTCCTTGAATACCACAGCACCCCACCAATAATGAGAGCTCTGTCTGGTACAGCTCTGCATCCCTCCAAATCCCCAGCAATGATGAACCCACTGCCTTTCACAGCAGAATGGCTGGCTGCTGCTCTGTTTGCTGTGTGTCACCCATCTGCAAAGGGTCTTGCGGGTAGTTCAGGGATCAGGTGCAGCTCCCTGAACACGTTCTGGGCACTGGGATCCCACTCCATCACCAGAGTCCCAGGGAGAATAAGTGCTGTCATTCCCAACTACTCTCTAGAGAACCAACAATTTCAATGTAGTTCTCCGCAGCTGGGTGTGACATTAAAGGCAGCAGAGCTCTTATTGCTGGTAGAGGAGTGATGAGCACAAACCATCCAGCTGGACTTCTTATGTCTGCAAAAATGAGTAGGCTTAATCTGGAAGCAGTTCAGAAGAATACAAGTGGTAATCATTGCAATGGCTTGCATCTGATTTTACCTTGAAGGGGAAAATGCCCCTTCCCCATTTTGCAAGATATAAGGGCAATGTTCCCAGACACACCTCTGAAACATGGGGTAAACACATACTATAAGAACCAATGGCCACAACTAATTCTCTTTGCAACTTCCAGTAGCTGGAGAGGCTTCCAGCAACCTGAGTATATCCATTTCAATGCAATTTCCTTCATTATTCAGACTTGCAAATTGTCTGTTCCTATTGGTCTCCAATGCAAATCTTTCCAAGTTTAACACATCTGCAATTCTATAAAGTCATTAGCTTTAATTAACAGACAAAGTTCCTCCATTATTTTTAGAATTAATGCCAGCTGAGAATAAGAGCTAAAGTGGTTGTATGTATTCACAAGGAATTTTTCCTAAAACGCTGTGATTAAAAGCTTGAAAAGAAGGAGGGAGTGAAACAAGCATGGATTTGCTGAAGAAAAAGCACAAATCAGTCGAATGCATCACCCTGAGAGCTCAAACCTGGAGCTTCTCAATGAGAATACCTAAGATGGGCTATATGAAAGCCTCCATTTGATGGTTTGGCAGCTCCAAGAAGCTGTCCCAGAAGCACAGCTAAGCAGTATCACAGAATCACAGAACTGTAGGGGTTGGAAGGGACCTCCAGAAATCAAGTCCAACCCCCCTGCCAAAGCAGGTTCCCTACAGCAGGTCGCACAGGTCGGCATCCAGGCAGGTCTTGAACATCTCCAGAGAAGGAGACTCCACCACCTCCCTGGGCAGCCTGTTCCAGTGCTCCGTCACCTCACTGTAAAGAAGTTCTTGCACACATTTGTGCGGAACTTCCTATGCTGCAAATAGCTTTTTCAGCCCAAACCTTTTGCTCCTTTGCTCGACAGAAGCCTAAGATAGAAGAACAACCTGGACACAATCAGATCAGCTGTTCCCCAAGTGGGATAGGACTGTAAAAACAGACTGGAACAGGAAGGCTGGGGCAGACCACAGGGCACTGTCCCTTCTCCTTGCTGGGACAGGGCACTGTGTGACATCTGCACGCTGACCTTACCACACCAGCAAATGCATTCATAGGCAAAGAATAGAGGAAAACAAACAAGTGCCACAAGGATTAAGCAGGAATTAATGTGCAGAGCAGGAGGCAGCACGGTGCTGACAACTGAGCTGTGAGTGGCAGCACTGTATTGCTTTGGGCCAAACATGACAGTTCCAGCTCAAAGCAGGAGTCAGCCAAGCTGTCAGCAGCTGTGGTGGGATGAAAAACGGTGCTCTGCAGTTTTCATGCTCTGTCACATGAATACAAGGAAGCACCTGGGCTATCGAAAATCAAGATAAGAGCAGTTTAAGCGCCAGACTTCTGACACAGCAGAGAGAGATGCACTGAGATGCTTTGCAAAAATCCAGATGTCCACTGAAGTCACCATTTGCTCCTCAGCTCCTTCTCATTCCTACAGTGGCAAAATTCAGTGGCTGGGATTGTCACAGATCACAGCTTAAGTGGGTTTGCACGGCCCAAATCAGAGATGCCATAGCACTGCGTTCCCACAAGCAGCTTCCACTCAGTTAGCAGCCAGTCTGCTTCTTGTGTCCCCATACTTGGGGTTCAGAGAGACTCTCTGTATATTTAGAGGACGTGGAAGACAAATCATAGTGAGAAAACTAACATTCAACTCTCCAGCTGCTGGGTTAGAAGCGTGAAGTTTGGACAATAACTGCCCTTCAGCATCAGCAAGCCTGTGGCAGCAGCTCTGTAAAGCTCTACTGTGAGTGTCTGACCCTGAGGTTTTGTTCTCTGAGGTCACAGTGTTGGGGCTAAAATACAGCACCTACAGGAAGGAAGCACGGTTAATGTCTGGGTTCTCAGAGCTCAAAAAGTAGATAATGTTATTTTGACTTTCTTCATCAAGAATGGTCTGTGGTGATGTCCTCTGCTGATGTTCATTCTCTGCTGCCATGTTACGTCTCAAACCCCACCACCAAACACCACCCAAACCCAGCTGTGAGGTGTGCTCTGCATGCTCCTTTGCCTGCTGCACCTCGGCTGAGCGAGCAGGGATGGGGAAAGGAAGCTGAGACAGGCAGCTGTGGAGAAGAAAACAGAGACATGGGGAAATAAAAGCTGACATAAGGATGCAGTCGCCCTCAGACACAGTGTGAGATTGGGCAGAGTAGCACATCTCTGGGACTGCTTTCCCATATCGTTGGCCCTATGCCTTACTTCTTGTGAGAAAGGATTCTTCAGAGCCCTCAGAGCATCTCTTCATGCCTGATCTTTAGCATTTACTTGTTTTGAATTTTCAAGCTCAGAAAATGCCTAGAACCTTATTTTCTCCCAAGAGAGCTGAGTTCCTGATGTGACTTCTCTATTGTTGTAAGTAAGGCTATAACCCTGAATAGAAAGGGAATCAGAGGCCAGTAAGCTGTCTTCAGATCTCTCCTGTGCTTCTTAAAGCACCCTGATTATTCCTGCCGCCGTTGTAGCAAGAAAGCTTTCTCAGTGCTTAGCGATTATAGGTATGGCTGCCATACCTGCTCTTAAACTCTAATTGTTTGTGGCTGACATAACCATAGCTGTTAGTGGCCGGGTCAGCAGGCTGCAAGCTTGCTGGAGCCATGCACACAGGGCCTAAATTCAATAGGAAGGGCATGCAGAGTTACAGCAACTTTTGGGGACTGCTGCCCAGATTTATTGCTTTTTTCAGCATGCACAGTGAGGAAAAAAGCAGAGAAGGGAAAGAAGAGAACAGATGTGAGAGAAAAAGAAAAGAAAGGGAGAACATTTCTTTGGATAACTGCTGCCCTGGGTGTTAATGCTCTTGAGCTGCTTTGCTGGCACAGCACTACGGAGGAGAGGAGCTCCTGCAGGTGGCTGTGAGGGCAGAGAGCTGCCAGCTTGGATGCGAATCAAAATGTGGGCAACAGAGAAGTCAAGGTGTCTGCTAAGACTCTGCCCATTGTTGCGGGTTTACTTGTAGAACTGCCTCTCCCAAACCAGGCTGAGCCTGGGAACGCACCAACAGAGGAAAGTGACAAAAACATCGTAACCATTACCAAGGCTGGCAGCAGGAAGCTCAGTGGATGTCTGGATTGTTGGAGCATGCAGCGGGTTGATGGCCTCAGTCCCAGGCAAGGTTATGTGGTGGCAGCTCCTTGCTGTGCTGGAATGGCTCACAGAGCTGTGGATGAGGTGGGCACTGGAAGAGATCTCACCTCCCAGAGCGGCTTGAGGGGCTGCTCCATTCAGGGTTCTTGCCAGCTCCAGTGAGGCTCAGATGTGGGTGGCACTAAGACTGAGCTCAAAGGAGTGCGGATCTGCTGCAAGTGCTAGGAAGGGAAAAGCTTTGACTGGTTGTGTATCAAAACCAAGATAAAGTCAATCATAGTTCCTGATTGTTTTATGGCTCTCTTTATGCACAGGACACACAGTAACGATCCTTCCCCATCTACGTAGACAAGCTGCTTTTCCTCCCATCTTTCAAATGAGGAAATTGAGGCAAAGCACTGCATAGTGTCTTTCCTAAACTGGTACATTACCAGCCAGAAAAGGATCCTAATCATTACAGTTGAGCAATGGGACCGTCTCCATGGGATAATTATGCCATGGCTACAGTCAGTGCAACAGATGGAAAGCGCAGCAATAACAGCAGAGTTGCAGGTTTACCTAAATGCAACAGGTGTGAGTACAGAAATAATAATAAAAATAATAAAAACTGCTTACCTTCAGGAGGCCACAGGTAGACAGGGATGTCCAGTCAGATACCCTCACCTCTACTGCCAACCCTTAAATGGGGTCTGGGAAGGAATGGAGCCAAGATCCTTCCAGTCACTCAGTTGCATTGCATGCACCTGAGCTCCCTTGGGTAGGCCCTGCCCTCCCTCCAGGTGCTCCATCATTGCTTCAGGTCATTACTTAGCATTTCCACTATAGTTAGGATGACCAGTTCATCTCACTCTGCATCCTGTAGCAAGGTGTGGGGGCAGTGTGTTGGCTACAGTTATAGAGAAAACAATGGAAAGCAAAGGGTGCCTTAAGCCTCAGGTGAATAGTTATCTTGCGTCAGCTCCACAGCTTGCTTTTGGAGAACCTGGGTCTCTCTGGCCAACACAGCTGCAGCTTCCTTCGAGGCTGGAACCAGCTCTGTGTGCACATTCCTCACACACTTGCAGCACCTTTGTCCTTTACCAAATACCTTGCAGACAAAGTTATTTTTCTAAGTCATACTGAGTTGTTTTATTCACCCTTCTCAGCCACAAAGGCAACAAAGTGCATAAAGGAAGCATTCTGTCATGAGGAAAACTCTGGGAAACCCAGACCCTGCTCCATTGCAGCACATTGCACAGTGTCTGGTCCCAACCTTATGGGTGCTTCTGCACTGACCTGGACCTGAGGCACAGCGTCATGTCCTGGGCCTACCAGAGAGAGCCCTGGGCGAGGATCAGCCTGTGCTGCAACTTGGATTCACTCTCCCAATATTAGTGTTTTCTTGTGTCTGTCAAGGTGCAGTTAAGATCATGGGCCGGAGTCCCTGGGATCCTTGTGCAAGAGCCTCTTTTGCAAGGAGCTCTGGAGACCATCTCATCTTGTATGGGCCGCCTTGCTACCAGGCAGGCCTGGTGGGAAACAGGACAGCTAACGTAGCTTTGACACAAGCAGGGCAAAAATGCCATGTCAAAGCATTTTCCTTCAGCTGCCTGAGATACTGGCTGCTAGGAAACTATAAACTTCTGGCCAGGCTTGCAGTCTGCTTTGAACTGCTCTGGTGTGAGAGAAATGGCTAAACCCCAGCCCAGGCACCATCTAGACGTTGTCTTTTGTGTGGGATAGGCATTAGCAGGATGGGCTTGAGCAGCAGTCTGTGTGTATCCAGGGTGGCTCAAGCACAAGGGGAAAACACGGGTAAATAAGAAAAAGGTTACTATGCAAGGAGGGCTCCAGGGGTGGGAAATGTGAGCCTCTCTGCCTGCACAGTGATGTGCCAAGAGACTCTGCCCCTTGGAAGGAGACAGACTGCCTGGTAAAGCTACCCAGCAAAGCCCTTTCTCAGCGTAAATGTAAACTCAGTCTCACCTTTCCTTAACAAGAAAAGTGCTCGTCAGTCTCCTTAGTGTCTTACTGGTTCCAGACAATGAGATGTCGTTGTGCTGTTTGGTGTAGCTGAGCTGCTTGCAGCAGAAGGTGATGAAATTCAGCATCTTTGTGCAAAGAGTGGTTCCCCAGGAATAATACCATGCCTTGGCTTCGAAAGGAGGGGTGAGGAAGATGGAGAAGAGTGGAGAAGCTCTTAGAAGTTCAGGTAGAGAAGGCAGGTTTGTGGCAGGCTCCGTAGCACTTCGTAATGTTTGGTCTCATGAGGAAATGGGAGGGTAGGGGGAAAAAATAGAAAAAGGAGGGAAAAAAAGAAGAAAAAAAAGAAAAATGGAAAAGCTGCCAAGGCGTAAGAATGTATTTGCATCAAATACGTATCACTGAAACCATGAACAACCACCCCAAGCACAGCCATTTCTTCAAGGAAAACAAGTTGGCAGCTAAAATGTAAGACAGAAATGAGACTATTTATTTGGCACCAATTTATACCTTTCAGGATATTCTTCCCAAGCAATAAAGATGAAGAAATTGTCTAAAATTGTAGTGTTCAAAGAAAAAGCTTCTGTATCGATTCAGGGAAAAACTCGAAGCAATGTGAGACCTCCCATGGACTGGACAGGCTGAACTGTCCGCAGGAGCAGATGGGCTTTATGCAGACACTCAGGGGGTGTTGCAGTCTTACAGATCTTACAATATTAAAGATTTTAAAGCACGATGGAACCATGGTTATCATTTAGTTTTCAGTGTAAAGCATGGAGTTTCTTATGGCTCTTCCATTCTTGTTTCCTTCTGGTCTGGTTGCACAGCAGAGGACGATTTCAGGCTGAAGTCTGCAAACAACTGGAGCCCACAGAAGGTTTCTAAAGAAGTCAGTTCCACACACTCTTCATAGCAAACCCCGTAAGTGACACTGATAAAAAAATCTCTGTATTCACTGGGAAATTTTGAGCTGTCCATAAGTGACAGCAGTTGAAACACACTTGGAAAGACATCAAAGTTTAATCTGAAGGCCAAAAATGGTAGTTTTCTTTGTAACCAAATATGATGAAGTAGCTGAGGCATTGGCAAAGAAGTTTGTCACTAAACTGTCTCAGAAGACCATTTGGTGGAAAAATGACTGCCTTTGGGTCCAGAAATCGTCTAAGATGAAACTGGGAATTAGATCTGTAAATGCTTTTTTGGCTTTAAGAAGCACTACGTAACCCCCAAATAAACATGGTATAAGAAGCAGAACCAAGCATGAATTCTATGAAGGGTGTTTTCACTCCTCTAGTCCGCTATTTGGCCGCGACGATAAAAGCATAGATAGTGGAGAAAGATAGCACATTTGCATTTCAAAAAACAATTTACATTAGTCCAGGAAGGATATTGATTAATTTCTAAAGAACGTCAGGCACTCTGGACAACAAGCAGCACCATGTCACACTGTGTGCCAAATGCTAGGTCATGTTGGAAGGAATGGATCAAACACCTCGCACACTGGGAGCATTGCTGAGCTCCAAATGAGTGGCACCCATAAAGGGAATGGATCTGGGCACAGGCACACAGCTAAATAAAGAGCAAGGCTGGCTGTGCCCCACGAGTAAACAAAGTGGCAATACGCCTCCAGGTTGGGGTAGGAAATCTTACTGTGCAACCTGATGGGGCCCTGGTCCCCCCAGCCTTGCTTAGCTGTGATTGCCCTGTCCCAGAAGGCACACCATGGGATGGATGCAATATCCACAGCTGCTTAGAGATGCCTGGTGAAAACAAGCCAGGCCTGGCAATCAGGGTCCAGAGCACTGCTAGGCCTTGCTTCTAGGAAAGTAAAGAGCTAAGGAAGAGTATAGAGAGATGTGCTGGGAAGGAAGTGGTTTGATCTCTTCTGCAAATGCAGGGCAATAGAAGAATCTACAGAATTAAAGGGCATTTAAAATTGATAATTGGCCTTTTATGGGAGTCTGTTTATCAGCGGAACTCACTGTTACAGGATCGCGAGGGCTGAGAAGGCATAAAAATCAGCTGTCTTCAGAGCTTCCATGCTATATTAAAACATTTATAGTATTAAAGTTGACAGCAGTTTGACCTTGGGAAATATCTAACGTCCTAATTTTGACAGCCATGTGAGGATCTGGAAAGTTCTGAAACATCAGTCTCAGGCACGGGATGGTGCTGCAGTGAGATCAGTGAGAGAAAGGCACATTCAGCTCTTTCCTCACCTGAGACTTTGCTGCATGGCTGTGAGGAGCCCTGCCAGACAGCGTCCCTCTGGTTGGGGTTAACTGAGAACAGACGGTAAATGGAGTCAACCCTGAATAAGAACTAGAGGGCTGTGGAGGTCTGGAGAGAACTGCTGAAGTGTTGGAGCTGATTCACAGCACAGTTCATGGTTTCACTTCACTCTCCTCCAGTGGTTTGTCTATAAAAGGTTCATTCAAGCTTCATTTCTTAGCTAGAAGGGTTGACAGCAAAGATCTTTATCGTCTGGTCGGCTACTATTCTGATGAGTAAAATAGACAAGCACTGCCAGAGAAGAGCCTGCTCTGCATGCTATATTTGTAACAGTGAGAACACAAAAAGACGTGCCTTTGGAATATAATTGCCTGATTTTTCAGATGTCCTTCTGGATCCAGTTCTGGCCGCTAACTCTCCTATCTCCTGTTTTAATTTCCAGATAATTCCAGTCGGGTACCCTGAGTTTTTGAATACAGGCACTGACACTGCAAGTTTTTAGTGCTCTAAAGAAACATATCCTGGGAGTATGATTAATCACTGAAGTTATTATCCTGTAAACAGAGGAAGCAGCAGAGGAGGCTGAACAGCTCCTTGTATCTGGTGCAAAAGCTGAGTGATCCAAGGAACCTGCTCTCAGCTCATCCCTCTTCCCAGCAGTGATGTGGCTTTGTTTAAAGCATCAAAGAGCCCAAGCCCTCACCAGTGTGCAAGCAGAATCCTACACAGCAGCTGTCAGAGGTGCGCAGAAATGGCAACAGAAGGGACGATATCCTGTCCCCAGCCGCCACTTTTTGGCTGGAGATGAACACATAGCCTTGTTTAGAAAAGAACAAGAGCAACCATATTTGAATTCCAGCCCATGCTGGTTATTCAGTCTCTCTTCCTACCCTGAGGTACTGTATTTCCCCAGCAACCACCCCAAGCCATTTTCTCTTTCAGACAACCAGCAGCTATAGGTGTGGGTGATCCTCAAAGCAGCCCCTGCTTTCTATCACCTAAACACTTTTGTTGTAGCATGTCCCAAAGCCCCAAACCTGCACCCAAGAGAGACCTTCTGGGTTTGTTTTCTGTTTGTCCCAGCAAAATATGGATCTCTTTGTCCTCTTTCTTCCCCTTCTGATTGTAAGAAAAACAGCAACTGAAGGAGACCAAAGCGATCGAGGTGATGACCCAGAAGCAACAGTGGGAACCAAGCAATGTGCTGGAGCTGTGCATGCAGAGAGCTGAGATGGCACTTTCCTCAGCCCGGAGCACTGAAAAGGGACCAGAGTAAATGAAACGTATGGACTGAAAAATGATGCTGAGAAGACTAGTTAGCTGCCTGCATTACATAGTGCTTGGTAACAGGAGTGATCACACACCAGCCAAGCAGTTAGGAAAACTGCCTTCTGCAAACAGATTGGATGTCTGCTCCTGAGCCAGTGTTTTTCCACTTTGTGTGTAC